TAAAAATTCAATGAAAAGTTTCATAATATTTCTTAATTATTCAATGTTAGGACAATTATACTATTCATGTGTATATTTAAATCATAAACACAAACACACACACATTATTCCAACTGAATTCATAAATTTAAAATTGTGATCAAATTTGAGGCACCAAGTCCAACCTTTTTTTATTATTATTTTTTTTTTAATGATTTTTATGTAATTTTGATATTTTATATTTAAGAGTGACTTAATAATTTGATAAGTCTATTTAAAGAGGAAATTTTTAATATTGAAAAAAAAAAAATTGACCATCACTAATTGGAGGGGACCGATTTACTGTTACGCATGATAGAATTTGATTCTTGCAATGCAGATCAATGAAGCTTCAGACTAGTATAACTTCATGGTTAAGATGGTTAGATCATGTTGATACATGAAAGCAGATAGTCACCAATAAGACTGGTGGAAAATCATGTTATGCCTATGATGAGATTCTCATGACGAATCCCATGACTTTATTATTGAAAATCAAATTGTGCAGAATGTAGTATTTTTTTTTTTCTTTACTTTTCTATTATTATTGTTGTTGTTATTAAAAATGGGTAAAATTATTTTCAAAGAAATAGTTTATAGTGAAATAAATGAAAAGCCAAAGAGGGATTTCATGAAGAGGGAAAAGAGAGATAGATATGCTTTGAGGCTTTGAGTGAGGAGAAGGTGAAAAGAGATGAGATAAGAGGAGAAGGTGAAAAGGATGAGATAGGAGAGGGAGAGATTCTTATTTGGTTGAAAAGCGCACTAGAAAGGTTGGAGAGAGAGATTCTTCAGTTGAAAAGAAAACTCTATTTCCATAAGAAGACACAGTTTCTCAGTTGAAAAGTAAGTGAACATGAAATAAATCAGAATTTCATGTTCCATCCCAATCCCATGGTCATCATATTTTTTTTTTTTTTCGGGTACGTTCCATTCCAATCCGATGATCATTTTGTTTTTGTTTTTGTTTTTGGTTTTTTTCTATCTTATTGTTCGATTCATAATTTCTTTTTAAAGATCCGATATTGTTACATACTTGCATGAACCGACTGATTTGATTGTTTTACATTGATATTCGTCGAATTCGTTACACAGGGACCCAAACTATGATCCAAACACAAAAAATACAAATAAAAAATACTTTTAAGTGTATATACAAATAATATAGGCAGTTTATCAGTTTATTTTATTCTCATTATTATATTTTAGCCTCATTCAAAAGGTTTACTTAATTGAAATTGATAACCACTAAAAATTGTTTTAATTGTTCTCAAACACATTTGAAAGTAATTCTTTAAACTAAAATCATTTTTAAGTAATTAAAAAAACAAGTTCAAAGGGTTCAATTCAGTAGGACTTTAGGGTAAATTAGATTAAATTGATCTCAATAATTTCTAAAAAAAAAATGAAACAGATTGTCTAATTCTAATATTCATTTCACTATTTAGATCTAAACTATATCCAACTCTTATGTAACTTCCAAACATTTAATATATATAAAAAAAACGAGGCCCTGCAACTCATAATCAAAATAAGCACCAATATTGCAAATTAGCGCATAAATTCAAGGTGATGTATATGTGATTGTCAATTTAAAATAATCCGATGACAAAATTTAATCAAGATGTCTTGGAAACTAGGGCTCTGGTATCTTAATATAACAACATTCAGATGGGAAAAAAATGTACTTACTATACTTACCCAAAAAAAAAAAAACACATATGGCAGTTACTCCTCAAACAATAGCAAAAATTGAGGCTATTATGTGTGTATATATGTGATATACAGTTGCTGTGTTGTGTATCTATCTTATATTATTATTTATTAGTATTATAATATATGTGTGTGTATACATATATTTGGTTTGATTCACCGTAGACCAATGGTTTGTAATGTTTCGGAATTTTTGAATTTTTGGGTACTATTTATTTAATTTTTTATACCTCGTTATTGTGCGTGTCACATGGGCTCCAAAGGTCGTTTGGGACATTTTTTTTTGAGTTCACGAGTTTTAAAAATGCATTTTAATTATTTCCTGCATGCTAAATTTTACGAATTTTTTAGAATCGGGTTTGCATAGAAGGTGCTATCGGTAGCCATTCACATAAATGGCCATCACCATACCATTCCATCTGATGGCATTACTGACCCAGGAGCTGGCAAAATCGTCACTATACTATACCGTATGGCCTAAGAAGGACTGCGAATGAGTTCGCTCATGGTCTAGCACATTATGCCATGCGGAGAAAAAATTCAACAATTGCAAGATATAAATTTATCATGTTTTGGCTATGGATATGCTAGAATTAAAAAAATTACAAGTATTCTTAATTTAAAAAACAAAAGCAAAATTCATAATATTAAACTTGATTTATGTTATATTACTTTCAAAATTTTAAAAACACGAGGCATGCATTACTAAACATAATTTTATTTTTTATTTCAACTCCAAAAAATTAAAATTATGATTTTACTTTTGACAAAAATAAAATTAGAGATTACTTTCTGTTAGTAAACATGTCCTTTATGTTTGCCGACTTGGGGCTATATTCGACTCAGAAATAATTTTTCAAAAATTGAATGATATTATGTGAAAATTCATTATCATAAATGGAATTACCATTAATTTAATAAATACACCATGTGAAAGTTAGATTTAATTTTTATATTTATTTATTTATTATTATTAACACGTTAATTCAAAGAGCTGGTCACATTAAATACATGTCACCTCTTGTGTTTTGAATCCGTTTGTCCAACGCATTTCTTGCCTCAATTTTTTTTTTTTAATTTGAAATATTTGATTTTGTTTTTAAGAATTTTGGATTTTTTTTTTTCCAGTAATTAGAATTTTGGATTATTTAAATATTTTCATTGTTTTTAATGATTCTCAAAAAGAAAAACTAAGAACACAAACACGCACTTTTCCAATTATGGAAAGGGTGGCCCACAAGATCAATGTCATCGTAGTCCATTAGTCCAACAACTACCTTTTTGTATTTATTGGCTATCTGTTACTATATTATAAGTAAGAAGAGAGGGCTTTTTATTGATTTATTTTAAAATTTAATGTTTGAACAAGAGAGCCAACATTAGGCCACACGTACTTTAGCTTCTCTCTCTAGACTCATATATTTTCTCTCTCTGCCCTCTCACCACAGGTTGAAATCATATGTTATGTGGTTGCCCAACAACCACCTCAATCCCCATCTCTTTCTCTCTCTTGATCAGCCAATATCTTCTCGTTTCATAATTTCCTCTCTTCTCAAGCTTTAAAATCAAGTTTGTCCACAAATAATCTGCCACCAAAGTCTATTACAGTACCATATTAAGTAATATTTTAGCTTCATTTAAAAATTGAAAAAATATCACTTGCAATCAAATTATACTATTATTATTATACTATCAATAAATTTTTTTTAATTTTAAAACTATCACCATTTTTTTTTTGTAAGTTAAAAAAGCATGAATAAAGTTACAACAAAGACATAAAATAAAAACAAAAATTTTAATTAGTGGTAGTGAGACGTTTCAGCAGTGAAGTGATTTTTATTTTGTTTGTTATGGTCGCTATAAAAAGTGCATAAAATTTTCTGTTATATATTACATCTTTTATATATTAATATTATATTTAAATCAGTTTAAATTAACCTTAATCCGATATACAATTTATTAATATAAGGGATAATTATCTACATAAAACCATCAATACAAAGACCAACAAAAACAAATGAGAGAGAGAGAGGTCATGAGGTTGTAGTGGCTAGGAAAAATGATAAGTTCATGTCAGTTACAGGTCAATATGATCAAAACATTCATACCACATGCATTGCTCAATGCACTTCAACTTACGGATTATCAGATGATCAGACATGTATATACGCAATGAGTTATACTTGTACATGGATGGTCCCACAAAATAAGTTGACTCAGGTCAATAGCTAGTCAAATTGAAAAACAACTCATATATACATGTCTGAAGACATACACACAGTCACACACATAGTCACACTCATAAATACACGTCTGAAAACATGCACACATAGTAAGCAAAATCTGTATTCTACAAAGAACCTACTGAAGAGACTCTGTTGTTCCCAAGTCCCATCATCTCTCTCTTCTCTCTGTCCTTAAATCTCTCATTTTCTTCTCTCTTCTCTCTGTTATTGTGATCTTCACAACCAAAACCACCAACAGCTGAGGTTTCGGCGTTTGACACCCTATTCAGGTATAATTTATTTACAGCCTAAACTCACCTGAATGGCCTTAAATTTTACACACACAAACAGAGACGTGGATTCGTTGCAAAAAAACAAATGTTATTGATGTCTTTTCTCTCTGTTGTTTAATGCAGACTGTTCTTGGTGTTAATTATTTTCTCTCTGTTATTTAATGCTGACTGTTCTTGGTGTTAATTCTAAGTGGTGATCGGTTCTGGACACTGCGTTTAGAAATACAGATAGGAATGTAAGCCATTTCATTTCTAATTGTCAAGATTTGGGAAGTAGTTTCAAGTTGGCTTTTGTGAAAGTAGTTACAAACACAGAAATTGGTATTTTGTGCAGTGAACTTTGAGCTTTCTTCTGTAGTTTGAGGGATGTCTTAAATTTTTTCATAAAATACGTACTACCCTTCTCTAAGAGCATGATAAGTAGTAGGGATGTCTTAAATTTATTAAATTTATGATGAATTGGGTTCGGACATTAGAACACCACAAACAACCTTTCTGTAATTCTTATGCATTGAACTTTTTCCTCTCCCAAAATTAAGCACCATACACACACACACAGACATTTACAAAAACAGAAAGCAACTCCATGAAACATATCAGATAGTCAAATGCACTTGGATAAATCAGCAAGTTTAGAAATAGCTCTGTGAGCAGCATATTTTTCTTCCTTTACGAGCAAACATTGTAAGCACGTACCATTTATCTCTTCTGCTCACCTATATAGATTAGCAAGTTGTCTACACTGCCATTTTTAGTAGATTAAACCACTGTGTGTAACAAAGCACCCTACTGATTCATGAGCTAACACCTCTAGCTGTTGGCTCCATGTCACAATTAGACCTCTTTCGGATACATCATCTGTGAACTTTTCCGGGAGCTTGGCTTCTTCAGATGCCCTCACAACCCACAAGAAGTAAAACATGCTCTCCTTCAATCCCCAAGCCACTTCTTCCATTTGCTCGGCATCAACTTCTGCCATGCTACCAAATGCTACATAAAAAGAGCCTCTTGGCTTTTCATTAAGCCAGTTAATGCACATAGCAGCCTTTGGCTTGAAGAGATTGATATCATGGTCTGTATCGTCTTCCATCCGCTTATCCAGATACATGGATGGAAGGGTTGGCCCTATTGTCCTCACACACCAAATTTTCTCCATCCAATCCGCCGCCTAGATATAAATATATAAAACGATTCTTATTAGAGAAAAATGCATGCATTAGTTAAACATATATAGCAATTAATAAACTAAACCTCTTTTTTCCAATTCATAGAAAATATTGAAAAGCACCAAAGCTCGATTCATAGGAGAACAACATAGGAAATAAAGAGTACAACAAATGAGAGAACAGTAAAAGCAGCAGATAAAGAGGATAAGCAGTAGCATCATAAGCTAGAGGTGGTTGAAGAGAGTGCATAAATTGGGATTACACCCGATTAGATTACAATGTTGAGGTGGTCTTATTTTAGGATAAGCAGATGCCATAGATTTATGAGATTTAACAACTGTGGCTGCCAGGACAAGTCTATGGGAAAGGTGAAAAACATGATTAGTCCAAGCAGGGGCGAAGCCATGAATCTCCATTTGAGGGGGCCGAAGTAGATGAAGCTAAAGCAAGTAGGTTTTAATTTTGTGGTTAATAAGCTTTTGAAAATGACTCCAGATTGTTGAAGAGAAAAGAAGGGGTGGGAGTGGGATACAAGGGCTGCAAAACAAAGGTAGCATTAATGAAGGTACCAAATGTGCTTTGTTATGGCTGCTCTATTTAGATTAGCCAAGTCCACCATTAAGCTCAGGGGTACAGACAAGTGGACATGTGACCATAGAAAGTTTCTGATCAGTGGATTCATCCAATAAAGCTGCAAACTGTAGAGGATAGCTGCAACCTGCTAGCATGAGAGCCATGATCAATGGGAGATTCTTCCAGTGTTTTTATTAATAAGTTGTTGCAATATTGTTCCGGTGATTTGAAACTTTCATATTATATATATATATATATATATATATATATATATATATATATATATATTCTGTATATTATCTGTCTAGCCGAAGCATTACCTACAATATATTAAATCTGCAAGCAAACGAGCCAAAATGTGTCTCTATTGGTCCTCATTATAGAGGAAGACTGGAATACCAATATATGGAGACTATGAAACTGCAGTATTTGAAATCATTCCTTCAGCAAACAAATGAGGTCATTGACAAATTTGTGACTGCTATGAGGTGTGCAAGTCCCAAGCCAATGCAACCAGGGACATGGTATGCAGATCCAGTCAACATCAGTGAAGATGAATATGTTGAGATGCTAGTCGTTGATGGATTATTCATAATTGAGCTTTTTAGGCACAGTGGGGGTCAAACTTCAAAGGGATTAAGTAATAGCAAAATGCTGAAGCGTCATATCTATCAAGAGGTTGTGCTTGACCTCATCATTTTGAGAAATCAATTGCCCTTCACCATCCTCCTCAACTTAATTATACCATCTGATAAACCCTCCCATGGAACAAACATTGGCAAATCTGGCCCTCCATTTTTTCAGTAACATATTGAAAGAGAGCGTTTTGCTGCCAAAGGATAATGATTCTGCCATGATTTTGCTCCCCCAGAGAAGATGACTATGATGAGTCAGGTTTTGAGCACTTATTACAGTTTCTGCATTATATGTTGAGTCATACATTCATACCTGCTACAAATTTGAAGATCAGGAACAATAATTTGATGACAATGAAGAGCAACAAAGAGCTGCAAGAGGCAGGTATCAAATTCCAAATCCCTGCAAATGCTAACTCCCAATTCAACAAAACATTTCAAAATAAAGTGATGGAGCTTCAACCATTGTTTTATAAAAATGACACACAGAAAATATTGAGAAACTTCATTGAATTTGAAATGCATAACGAGGAATCGCTGGAAAGACTTCCTTTCTGCCACTATGTGACATTTATGAATCAGTTAATTAAATCTGAGGAGGATGTTCATCAGCTGGGTCTATGTGGCATCATCATTCAGAGTGTAACAAGCAACGACAAAGCAGTGTTAGCTATGTTCAATTACCTTTCTGAAAGTGTTGGCACAAACCATCTACAATCATATTATTTGGAGATAGTTGATTCTGTGACCGAACACTCTGCAAAACGCAGGAACACATGGCTAACCAAGTTGAAGGAATACTTTGATGGTCGATGGAGAACAACCTCAACCATAGCTGCTCATTTTTTGGTTATCTTCGCATGTTTACAAACCATCTTTGCAATTCTTTCATACCTTAAACAGTAATTTGGAATACTTGTAAACTGCATATGTTTGTTATCTTAATTCTTAAGACTTATATGCTATATGTTAATCCATTGAGACATGCATCTTCAAGCTCACTACACGCTGATGGCCCCTGCTAGTTTACTAAAAGGTCATAGGTCAATCTGTGCTTACAAATGGCCACCCTTTCGAATGTTTTTCTTTTTCTTTTGTTTTTAGTTTCTTTCTTTGGGATGGCCTTTAGGAGGCTTCATTGGGGTAGAGAGCTCGCACATTGCTGCAAGTGACCTGGAAGCTAGGTTTGCTGTCCTTGAAGGTGATCGATTTTATAAGAACTAGGCGGGGTCGTTCTGTTTCTGAAAATTCTTTTGTTCCTTTCTAGCCAACTAGCATGGACACAGGCTGCTAAGGCAAGTTTGTGGCCTAGGACAAGGGGTGAGGAGGTCCAATTGGATCATGTCCATTGGACTTGTTGAAATTATTGATCCAGAAATTGTTGGAGATAACCAGACCTTCTCAAACACACTGATGTTAAACAAAATACAGACTTTGAGGCGTATATTCACTTTCCTTAAAGTGTTATTTGCCCCCACTCAAATTGAGTTTGTTAACGGGTTCTGTAGCAAAACACTCCCAGGATACAACAAAGTCTGAATTCCTTCAGTTAGCAATACTGAAGGAATTCCCTAAACACTCGTTGAAACTGTTATGACTAGAAAACACAAGAAAGAGAGTAGAAAAGTATGTCTAGAATGTGTGACACCATCGCTATTTATAAACTATCAAAAGTTGCAAACCAAAAGTCACATATCTTCTGAATAGTTGTAACCTATTCAAGAGTTGCAACCAAAAGTCACATATCTTCTGAATAGTTGTAACCTATTCAAGAGTTACAAACTAAAAGTCATATACCATCTTAATAGTTGCAACCTATTCAAAATGTGTAAACCAAAAGTCATGTATTATCTGAATGGTTGCAACCTAAAATAAAAAGTCACACACATACACACATATATATTACAATATATTTAACAGGACTAAAGAGGGCCAGCTAGGAGGGAGGATTTTTACAGCAAATGGATTGAAAGTGAGTTCAAATAGAGTTGAGAGTAAGGGCATTAAAGAAAGAGGTGGTTGAGGAATTCATTGGCTGACAAGTAAACTATGCATGCATTAGGGGAGGTGAGATGACTCATACTGGGAGAATCAAGGGTGACAAGATTCTGAAAAATAAGGAGGCATAGAAGAAAGCTGTGTTTGGGTATGTTGTGCTTGAACCATGCTAGGTGACGCCAAGGAAGGTCTGGGAGTTTAGGACTGATGGACTACAGTGTGTGAGCTCGAGAGAAGGATGATGATGGGGATGGGAGCCATTTGGAAGTGTCATGGGAAGAAGAATTAATGGATGAGAAGAGAGGTTTCTGAGTTCAGGGATCAACTTCCCCTGCGTTCTCCTTCTCAGTCAATAAGTGGAGAATTGGTTGGTTACTTCTAGGGGGTCGTCAAAGTCCTCTTACAAGGGGACACCCCCACCCCCCTCACCATCACTTTTTTTTTTTCATTACCAGGGAACTATTTCCTTCCATCACCAAAGCTTCCATATATTCAAATCTATTGTGCAAGGAGCTCTCCCTCGCACACATAAACTTTGTAGTCGGATAAGGCCTAAAAGCTGCATTGGACCTCACCATAAACTATTAAAAAAAGCCTACTGTTCCTACTGCCATTGAGCTTCAAATCTTAGCAATTTTTGGGTTCGAGAGGGTGGTTTTCCCAATGATTTCTACCAAATTAAAGGCAACTGCTTTCTTTCTTTCATTCCTTTTTTTTATTTTATTTTATTTTATTTTATTTATTTATTTATTTATTTATTTTTTTAACGATTTTGAAAAACAGAGCAGAGGTAGCAGCACCCTTAAGAAACAAACAGAGATGACTAAAATTTGATCAAGAGCCAGTAAACTAACTAGCATTTTCGTCAAAATAGATCATTATTTCACTGAACTCATCACTAAAATAGATAAAAGAAGACTAAACAAGATACAACTATCCTCCATTTCTTCTTTTAAGGTCCTGATTCGTTTTTACCATCATATGGAACTGCTATTCTACCAAGCTACTAACGAGAGCATTAAACTATTCTAATATTTGAACCTGTAATTAAAACATAAAAAAAATTGGAAAGAGGATAAAGTCCTCTGCCAAAGCTTAATTAAGACTACAAGAAGGCCTCTGCCAAAGAGAGGGAAGATAAAGTCTAGGATTTCAGCATGCACTTTCCATTCCTTTGTTTCTGTGCCAGAGAGAGGGAAGATAAAGTCTAGAACTTCTCAAGAGCCTCTTCAAATCACCAAAGTTGTAGAGACAAAAGCTATCGGAGTGAGACCAAATACGTAGATCACTTTTTAAGCTGAGCAATGATAGGTTCAAAATCTTCAACTAGTCCCTCTTCACCAGAATTGTAATGTTACCGATTTTCCTTATTTTCTAATTTCTGGAATTTATTTGATTTTTCTGAATTATTTTAATCATTGCCTCGTTTTGCGTGCCATGCGGGCCCCGAGGGGTGTTTTGGTCATTTTTTTTTTTTACCCGAGGGTTTTAGTAGTGTATTTTTAATTATTTTAAGTCAATTAAAAGTGACAGTATTATTTTTAGAATTTTTGGAGGTCGGGACGATTTCCGGATTTGAGAACTTCTCTAAGTTTTGTCATTTTAAGAAAGGGCGTAAAGGATTTTTCTCACATATTTGTATACATCTATATCTATATATTAGAGGTAGATATTTGTGGGGGTAAGAATAGCATTTCATTGAAAGAGGAGGGGCATTATAGTAACTTGGCTTAAATTGGAAATCACTCAAATTGTGACACTTGGCACAACCTTGGCCATGGAAGATGAAAAATGGCCATTTGAAATTTGAATTTTCACAGGTTCAATCGTCCAAATAAATCACTCTTGAGGTTCGGTCGACCGAATTGGTTTGAGGATGGCCATCATACTTATTTCAGTAGACCGAAGGATTCTTGTTTTTGTTTCGGTCGACTGAAACTGCTTCCTCCTTTGTTCAAAACCATTCTGTGAGAATCGGACGAGTCGATGTATTTGGTCTCTCTATTTCGGTAGACTGAAACTCTTAAAATAATTTTTCATCTACTTAGTTCGGTAGACCGAACTGAGTTGGTGTTGCATTTCGGTAGACCGAAATACTATAGAAGCTGTGATTCAGACTCATTGATAACACCGGTCGATCGGTTTAAATTATCCTTCCATTTCGGTCGACCGAAATGGAACTTCATCTTTAGGAACTTGTTTTGATGATATATTGAACTTGGTCCTATGTTCTTTAGACTTTATGGATGAGTTTCTATCCATGATTTTCAGAGTGTGAACTTCAAGATGTTTATACATGTTTTAACAAAGGTTTCCTAAAAACTCACCATCCTAGCTAACCCCATTGATGAGATCTTGATACCTTCTCTTGAATCTTGATTCCTCTTTGTCATATCTTGATGATGCTTTTTTCCTTTGAGCTTTAATATGTAATGACTTATCTTGATGAATACTTTTGATCTGTAATTTTGCTCAAGGTAGACATTAGTACACATAAAACATCATTAATGAATTATGATCATCAAAAGCCTTAGATTCAAGGTCAACACAAATTACAAGTAATTCAAACTTTGAAAATAAGCTATTTTATTTACATTAAATACAAAAGGGTAATACAGTAATTTGATTATCATCATTTCCTTTCTTTTCTCTCCTCTATTTTATCCAAACAACAATATTATGCATTCCTTTCTTTTCTCTCCTATCTATCCAAACATGAATATAAATTATAGCTATTATTTCCTTTCTTTTCTTTTCTCTCCTGTGTATCCAAACGAAGCCTGAAGTCTAAAGACAATGACCATATAGATGCCGATGGCCTTAAATCTCACTCACAAATATTTGGTTTGGTTCAATCCGTATTCCACATCAGATCATTCGGTTCGATTCAATCTCTTTGTTTCCAGTTGAAGCCCTAATACCTCACTCTCACTCTCACTCTCACTCTCACTCACATTCGGTTCAATATTTGTATTCGACATCAGATCGAATTGCTCCAAGTATTTCTTTCTCTTTATATATATCGATATTTGGGTTTATTTATCCGAGTTGATCTTGTGACAAATTAATACATTCCTTGTTATTTTGTCGGAAAGATATATAATGTTTCAGTTCTTAACCTTTTAAATTGTTTTCACATTGTTCTAATCTTAATTTTTAAATTGATTGACAGATTAAAAAATGATATATAGTTTCTATTGTATTTCCCTTTCTTAGTGCTAAGGAGCCTCACATACAAATTGTTGTTTACAATTTCAATCTTTTGTATAACAAGTGGATAGTATAAACTATAGATGATTTTTACCCACATTTGATACCTTCCAGTGCCTATCCCACCTTGCCAATTTACCATCCATGTTGGACCAAAGGGTTTTGGTTGTTAGGTGTGGGAATTTTGGTATGGAAGTTAGCTTAGACCCCTGTAGACATTTTGCAAGTCCTCATATAGTGGTTCGAAGCATTGTATGTTCTCTATTTTTATAACTTTTTTAGTACATTTTTTTATTATAAATTTTGTCAATTCTCTAATTTGGGTATGTAACAAAAATAATTTTTAGCAGTTCAAATCACTTAGTATGAAACCCATATTTCAATTAAAGAATGCACTGCCTGAATATGCTGTAGTATTTGCTCAAAAGTAATTATTATAAACCAGTAGTTCAGTGCAAGTCTACTTTTATATTTCTAAAAATCCATCAATTTCTTCAAAGCTTATGAACAAGACTTCAGCCTAACTTGGTTGTACTCTTACTTCTCATGCTATCCACATCATGAATGCCTTTTTCTGCCCAATTAATTCGCATATATATGAAAATATTTGGTTTGTTAACATTAGGAGGTCATAGATCTTAACTGACAATTTATTCTTTATATTCCATTATTTACACAACTTGCATGTGCATTGGTTATGGCAGGTGAGAATCTAGACAATCACATTGATGTAAAGAATGTTCTTGTTGAGATGGGGACATACTTTCAAGTATAGGTGATTGTGTTATATACGGAAACCAAAACTTCTCATACAGTTCTTCTATTTCTGTTGAGAATTCTTTCTTTTTTTCTCAATACATAGTGGAGACATGGATTTATCCGTGTGTAGCTGGCACCCTAATCTTAGGGTGTAAATGCTGGCACCCTAATCTTAGGCTGATTGTTTTTTCCTATTTAATGTTGATTTGATTCTTTCCGTGTGTTGACTTTCCTAGTTTAATTCCTATTTATTTGTT